GCTGAACCTGACCGTACCAAATACTGCAAGTTTCACCTTTGGCAAACAGCATTAATGCAGAGGCCTGAAGCGTCAAGCGTAATAAACTCATCTACTTTAAACATATTAAAACTCACATCATCAAAATAAAAGGAATTCCTACAACTCCTTGAGAGTCCAAGTGTTTTGCTATTCTGCATAATAAGCCTAGAATTTCCCTTACTTTTCGTCATGAGGTCTTTAATCTCTTCTGCAATTGCATCGTTTATTGCTGTTAACAACTCGTATTTTCCATCCTTGCTGCCAGAGCAATTAGATTCCATGGAACTGCCATCTCCAAACTGATCTGCCAAAGCCCAACGCTTCCCAGGGTACAAGAAACGGCTGAAACGGGAAAAACAAAGTATTAATGTTTTGCCTTAAAAGCGATAAACCGAGCAGCAGAGCACTGCTGTCCACAGAAGCGCAACTTCAAACGAACTGGACACTTCAGTCAGTAAAGAGGCTACAAAAGGCAGGCAACCTCCAAACTCAACGTGGAGTAAAACCCACATTCACTTCCCTCCTTCCACGACATCTCAAGGGAACTGGCAAATTCCCTGCACTTTGGGGTAGATCCCGAGACCCACAGATATCTGGGGGAAAAATATCTGCTAAACAGGAACCTTCTCCCACTCGCGTCCTCCAGCTCGCCACATCTCTACGACCTCCTCTCCACAAGTTTTTATGTAAAAGCCTCTTAAAGTGCCCTTCTGCCCTGCTCGTGTAAGGCCCTACGGCAAGTTATGTCCTACGTTATGCATTTTAAACTGGGTTTCAATTACATCCTTCAATCCCACACGAAAACCAGGAGACAGATACAGGGCAGCGCACCCGAACTTCACAGGGCTAAGGAGCAGCTGTACCTTTCTTGGGTGTGACTTGCTATTACGGCAAGCCTGTTGGTGCGATTCATGAACAAGTGCGAATTTCCCAGTACCATCGCTGCATCGATGCATTTCGAGAGGGTGAACTGCCGAGAAAAAAACAACAAGGAAGTGACCCGGCACGGTAACGCAGTGAAGTCATTGACCAGAAATCTCAGACACCTGCAGTTACTAGACCGTGAATCTGATGACACAGAAGGGGTTCCCACTCTTAACTGGAAGCACTTGGGAACAAAGCTCTGACAAACACACATGCTGAGTAGCTGTTTTTAAAACCTTCCACTATCCATCACATCCATTTCAGCAGAGGTCAGCACAGGTCAGAAAACAACGACTAACCCTATTTATCGCCCACTTACTGCGGTTTAAATTAAAAAA